ATCATGCGTAATTGCGTCTCTTATAGCGTGGTTGTGCGGGACTTAGTAGTCCGACAACCCTGACCGGGCTTAGTGTACGTACATGGTATTCAGACTTTCGAGTACCACCCCTATTTTTCTAGTCTCCCTCGTGAGACTAAGAAGGACATGAGTTCGTCGTACCAAATGGGCGAATCTCATAGTTGCAAGGTCATTCCTTGTTGACTTAGAATCATACAGCATGAAGTCATCATCAAGTAAAATCATCATGACTATGTGTAACATCAATTACGCATCATGTGATCCTCATCAAGAACAATTATATTGATTACATAGGCGTCATGTAATCATCATCAAGAACAATCAAATTGATTAAATTAAATGTGCCATAATCATGCAATTATCATTAAATATTTATCATCATGATTCATCAAATTGACCATATGATATAAAGTGTCATATCAGGAATATTGTTATACATTTTTGTGGACATATAACAAGAAGACAATGATGGAACCTTTCCGGGAGGGCATTGAGTCAGAGGAGATGCAAGGATGGCAGGCAATGTTTGGTCAACAGATTTTAAAATGTGTCATGATTTGATTATTATTGTACTTCCGCATTACTCTGAAAATATTTTTTAAATGGGTTGCGATCCAGAGTCTGTAAATTTAATATTTTTAAGTAATTGTCATATTCAAATGTCAAGTGAAATTTTTATTTAACTCTCGTTTCACCTTAATTCGTGTAATTCCGGGTTATACGGATTGGGGTGTTACATTTTGGTATCAGAGCAAAACGATTTTCGGATCATTGAGTCAGTATTTTCAAAGTCCTGCATCCGCATCCTCCGCGACATCTCTGCCCCGGGAAGGTAATCAACAAGTAAGTTACTATGGCATAACACACATGCTTCACTCATTGAAAATTTGCTTCTCTTGAGTTGCTAGTATCCTCATAGACCCGATTTTAATAAAGTTTAGATTGCCTCAAAATGTTCTTCGAGGATCACAGACGACATCAGTAGATCAAGAAAAGGGACTGTAAACCCGATAAGCGCGACATATATGTATGTCATAGTACGCAAATGGCTAAGTGAATAATGTCAATCAACTTCTGTCAACCCGAAGAATACGTCAAAGAAAGAACATTCTCAAATAGGAAGTGAATAAATTCCCCAAGAGTGAACCTATCGTTTTCTAAGAACAAGAATAGAGCCTCACAAACCAAATCGAATACGACATATGTATCGAATCTGAAACACATTATAGGGGTGAATCTATATACAAACATTAGGATAATTGACTCGTTCGTATACCCTATTAACGCAAAAAGTCGCAACAAGATGACAGTACAAAACAAGATGTGAAACAGTCACACCAACAGTGAAAGACTGGAAGATAAAGAAAAGGATTAATGTTTACATGATACATTTTGTTGTTGGAAATAAATACTCTTCTGAAATGCACTGGTCATGCAACTTAGAACGAGATTTATGACTAACGCATAATGTACATGGATAATATTATATTACAGATGCAACTCTAAGTCTAATCTTCCAGGATTTGCAAACTCGTCATAACTAGCACCAGGACCTGGGAAAGCCTTAGCAAACTCTAGCTTGTCCAAAAGCTCATCAACAAAGAAAGAAGAAATGAACAGTTTCCTCTGATTCAAAGCCATGAAGTTCTGCCTCACCGCATCATCTAGAAACTTGATTAGGTTATTGAAATAACCGTCAATGTTTAAGAGACCAATAGGTCTGCTGTGCAACCCTTCAGATGCCCATGAGATTAAGGTGAACAAACCTTCGATAGTGTCAATCCCTCCAGGAAGTACAATGAAGGCTTCCACAATATGATTCATCTCGAAATACTTATAGTAATTGCTGGAGACGGTGTACTCTACACCGTACGTAGGTCCGTAAACCTGTCGTGTTGCTATATACCCTGGTATGAAACCTCTGACTCTACCACCATTATTATAGACCGTTGAAGCTACAGCTCCTTGAAGGCCAA